TGTCCTCCCCAGACTTAAGGTCTGTAGAATCTCTTATTCGGGGGATCTAATAGGATAAGGCACTAATGTCAGTCACCTTAGGATATCCCTTGGTTCTCCCTCGAGATATATTTTTGGTCCAAATACAGTGTGTCCCCGCTAAAACTTGTCACGCCCCTAATCTGCAAACTCATGAAAAAAATTAAAAATTGCTCAGACCCGTCGATTTTTATTCAAAGTGGAAACACTTTTACGTAATACATCATCACAATTTTCAATGGGACTACATTACTTGTGATATATCATTTTGAAGGAAATTCAATCCCAAATACCTTGGTGTACTAAAATTAAGGATCGAACAAGTTTGTTGAAGTTTTAATGAAAACTATACATAGTTTTATCTAGATATTTTTATTTTTCATCACTTAAAATGTAATTATCATATGAAAGGTAATTCCTATTTTGGCACATACAGAACATTATTGTTTCATTTTTGTATTCATCATCAACTTTTGATGTTATTTTGTTTCCTAAAAAGTCAGTCCAAATGAAAGTAACTTTTTGGGCATTACGTCAACCTTCTACCTCGTTCCCTATAGCGGCTTTGTTTTATAGTAGCCTGATATTCAATTTGGATGTCATTGATATTGGCTGCGTGACCACTGTAAAAACGTGATTTTTTTCATTTTCATCTGTAGCTTTTTTCGCTGCCTTTATGTTCGTCTTCTGTAACCGATGCAAACTTCCAAACACTTTTCTCGTGTTTTTTGCTTTTCTACTTTCAAATAGATTTGAAAACGAACTTATACAGGGTGTTTGTTAAACATGTGTTAAGGGACTATTCTAAGCATATTTTGTGCTTTGATGATTTTTGAGAGGGCGCTTTGTTTCGAAGATACTGGGCGAAAAAGTTTCAACAGTGACACTTTTGGTAATTTTAAAATTATTAACGTAGCCGAAATGAAAGTACAGCGTACTACACTGGACCTACTCAAGTCCCTTAAATTTTTGTCCATGTTTAATGAACACTCTGTACTTTAGCTGCCATATTTCATTCTTTGCATCATTTATAAACGTAGAACTGATTGATTTGGATTGAATCTTATAATTTGCTTATTTACGTACTCGAATAAAACAAAATATATCACTAAAACACCAACAGATTTAGAGCGCAGCAATAGGCGCGGAACACTGTCAGTGCAAGATTGTGTCTCAAGAGGATATAGCAGATTTTCGATGTGGAAATTGGCTCTTGGTGAGAAAGCAGTTTTACGATCATGATATTTCTAGCCTTTTGTAGATTAAAAGAATCTTCATTTCCTTGCCATAACAGCGGATAAATGTGAAAAGCTTCAAATTTGTAAAAAAGTCAATTTGCTCAAAAATAAGACTTAGCAGGTTAGCGAATTAGGCAAACGATGAAATATGGCGAGCTGTCTATGTCCCTTAGAGAAGCATTGTCTCTGGGTGAGGTTTCCTTTGCACAATCCTATTTTGTTCGGGTGTTCTCTCGAAGAAAGTATCACTTTAACTCGTATCCCTTGGCAGTGTATGAATGAAATAGTGATATCGTTGAAGAAACCGTATCAATAAAGACCAGAGATTAGAGGAACACAACACGCAACGTAAATATTATGTAACCGCGAAGCATCATGAAATTGATAATCCGAAATACCGGAAATGAACGGCGCCAACCGTCCATTGTTACACAAATACAGTGTATTTATTTGTTTTAGTAATATTGCATCGTAAATTTCGTTTAACTGCATAATTTGATGCGCGTGCATATCCAGAACGACAAATGACATCCGTTCGCATGGAATGATTAAAATCAAAATCAAATACGTATACGTGGTTTATTTCCATTGTTGGTGAACTGTCGGAAATTATTGAACTTTAATAAATACATAATGTGTACAAAATGTATTCTAGTCGATTTCAAAAACTCGCTCAAGTCCAAAGGCAAAATTTAATGATCTCTGTACTGTCAACAAAAATAATTTTTCAACCCTATTCGCTGATGACACCACTTTTGGTGTGCACGCTGATGATACCATTGTACTCTCAGAAAAAGCTAAAAACTCAGTTAATAACATGAAATCCTACTGCTCCAGAAATGGCCTTGTTCTAAATAAATCCAAATCAAATAGCATTGTATTCACTCGAAAAAATATCGAAGTACACGATTCACACCTCACTTGGGGGCATCACGTCGACTACATAACTAATAAGACACTGTTATGTTGTATGGAATCTTAGAAAAACTGTTCCTCTGAACATCCTACTCGATTACTACTATACATATGTTCACTCCACCCTCAATTATTACATCATTTGCTGTGGGAATTCAACCAGAATCAATGAAGTAATAGTTCTCCAAAAGAAAATCCCAAGAGTTATGACTTTCAAGGGTCACAGAGACTCATGTAGGGGTTTATTCTCAAAACTTAAATTCTAACAGTCATCTCATTATATATACTCAACTGTGAATCATATGTTAAGTCACACAATGAAAACTTCACAAGCTGAAAAGACTTGCGTGGAGCTACAGGACAATAAAATTGTATAATAATAATTGTAATAGACATTAGAAACCTCACAAGTCTGAATTCATTCAAAAATGGGGCAAAATCCTTTTTACCCATAAATCCATTTCATTCCACAAACGAGTCCTTTAATCTACACTAATCGATCTATTTCCACAAAATATTTGTATTATATACGTACATTGTAGTTTTTAATATGCCTTTTAATCTGTATGTGAGAGCAATTGGCTTTTTCTTCTCTTTTGATTGTTAATTTTATTTTAATGTTAGTATATCATAAGGAAATTTGTAATCGTATTTTTATGACGTATCTGACGCATTTCTATGTTCATTTGTATAAACCTGGGGAAATAAAGGAATACTACTACTTAATAGTGAATGAATCCATGAAAGTGGATCAAGGAGCCTCTAAGGAAAAGAAAAAGTACGTAAAAATGTTAAAGTCTAAAATTCAAAACTCTAGAAATGAAAAAAAAAACTAATTGAAATAGTTTATTGTGATATTTCCACTGGACAGTTTACAAAACCGGGACACGTGTTTCGCTATACAATAGCTTCCTCAAGGAGTTTACGCTTGAGGAAGCTATTGTACAGCGAAACACATGTCGTGGTTTTTGTAAAACCTTTATAGTGAAAATTATACAATAAACTTCAATAAATAGTTTTAATATGGATTTTCATCAAGTATCGGCCAGTTGTATTCAATTACTCTAGATACAGATAATTCTCAATATGTGAATAGTAAGACCAAGAGATTCTAATTTTCAGAATTCTATACCTTAAAAGTTTTCAAACCTATTATTGATTTCCAAATGTATTGATTGGGATTGTACGTAGGCCGGATAGTAGTATGCGCTTAATTTCGCATGAAAATATTTTTCAAACTACAATAATAATACTACACCCTCACTATATAAGAAAATAACACTTTATCGACGTATTCCTTTGAAAATATATCTGAGCTATAGATTTTTTAGGAAAAACATAGTAATCTCTCTCCAAGAACTCGTCGACATGCAAAGTACATATACAATTTTATTATTTTTAGAAATATTTCAAAGAAAACTTGATATTTTCTGTTCTTCTCACCAACTATATAGTGATTACAGAAAAGTTGTAAGGAACTTTCATCTTTATATTCTCATGTCGATTTAAAAGTGTTCATAAACTTTCTGATATTACACCTACATAAAATTAAATTTTTCTTCAGATATTTTCTGAGCTATTGGAGATGACTTGTATATATATAATAGAATGCAACTATCTCAATAATTTAGATCTATTTTCAATGGTTTTTGGGCTATTGACGAAGATTTGTAGGTTTCATGTATACGGATATATTTCTCGTACTATGTTGATACAATATATCGCATCTTTTTTCTATTCTAAAGTATTTTAGGCAATATTTATTGTGTTTTGAAAATTCCGAAATACAATTGTCATTTTTAATTTCCCACGATATTTCTATCCACTTTCGAAAAACAATCTTTTGAACCAATTTTTCGTTTTCGTTTTCACTCTATAATTTATTTTTTGAGATATCCAGGTCCAGTCGATCGAGTTTTTCAACCTACTACTCTTCCCATTATTGATTTTTTACATACTGAATAAGTTTCTGGTCACATCCAACTCCAAAAAAATGACAAACCCATACTTCTATCTTGTCTAGATAGTTAATTTTAGAAGCACAAAAAAATACAGAATTCATCATATACACCCAATCTCTTGAGCAACTAATTTAAATTTTCTCATATATATATTTTCATATGAAAGTTATGAATTTTCATCAGTATGTTTGATTCTTTTTTTTTCAGAAAGACCAGGGAAGTTATTGTTGTTTTCCCTGTTTAATTTTGAATGGTCTCCAAAACAGTTTTTGGAATTCTAGTGATTGCTAAACATTTTGATGAAAAAAATTAGATTTCAAAATTTTGGGTTGTATATGATATTAACCTAGCTCTTTCATAAAATGTTTTAATGATACCTGTTCCTCCTTTTCTATAAACATTAGGTTCAAAATGATCTGTACATCTTGTTATCAATGTGTCAAGAAATGAGATTAATTAATTGTTTTCGCCTGATTCTCTGGTAAATTTTATCGTATGTTCCCTGTTATTAATAAAATCAAATAATAGTTCATCTCTGTCTTACTACCAAATCATCTTCAAAAACTTTTTGGACATTTGGGATGAATGCTACAATATGGCCATTCCAAAAAAAAAATTTTTCAAAATGAAAATATGTTATTCCAAATATCTTCCATTATATATACGATTATCATAGATGATCTAGTTATTAATGAATCATCATTTGCCAAGTTTTAGTACATGTTACATCATGATTACTTTTGAAATATTTTATTATTATTTAAAGGGGTGGAAACTAAAAAAATATGTAAAAGTGAGAACAAAAGTTCAGAAATATAGCTTTTACTATTCAGGTATTTTTTGGTGGAAAATAAGATGAAGAACTTACCATTCGATGAAAATGCCTTCTACCTGGAACTTGAGCAGCTATAATATATATAACAGGGTGTCTTGTATAAATTCCTATTTTCACTTTCGAAAACAATGATAAGGATAAATTTACATTACAGTCTGTCACATTTTTAATGGAGTCACTTCAAGGTCTCTGTTGATGTTATATCATTTCTGACAAATTTGTACAGTTGGTGGACATTTCGGTGGACATGCCAAAATACTACAATTAAGTTAACAAAAAATTAAAATTTGCATTGGTGTACAATCTTAAAAAGAGTAAGAGCGTTCATTTTCTGCAGAAATGATATCAGGAATAATGTAAATGAATATAGATTTCATATTCACTTCCACTTTCCCCATAAGAATTTTTTCCTTAAATATATTCCAAAAAATCTCAAAAACTAAGTTGAAAATAGTACATTCTCATAACTTAAACCCTGAAAATTTTTCCGAAAGGTTTTATTTATGTTTGATTTCAAGTTGTTTCTTTCATTTGATAATGGGAAAAAAACACCATATGTGTTTTACAGTAATGTATTCATTATTTGGTTCCATAATATCCAAATTCTCATTCCCAATATTAAAATTAACTGGGAGTACCCGTTTTAAAAATATCAAAATTGGATTTTCATATCTAAATACTGAAATTAAGAATGGTTATGAGCTCCAATAGTTGGGAATCAAAACCCAATTTTGACATTAGTGACAAAATCACAATGGAAAAACCAAGTGCGCTGTTGAAAAACACAAAATGACTTTTTTTTTCACCATCAGATGGAAGAAGCAAGGCCGGTTAAATTTGACAAAAGTTTCCCATTTTGGGAATTAGAACACTCTTTTTTTAGATCGGAAATATCAGTGGTTGTTTTCGAAATATGTGCTAAAAACTATAATTGTCGAACTCAATTTATGGTTTTACCTCCTCCACTTCGAATGATATAAAAAAAGGTAGAGGAACTTTCATATTTGCTATGATCTCATTACAACCTATTTACAATGCGACGTTTCGTTCATTACATTTCATCATTAACTTTATTTTTTTAAATAGGTTTTTTAAATCGTTTCATCGATTTTTTATGATATGCCGATTCTAAACACTTGACTGAACTGCACTGAAGAAGGTTGGGTGAAAAAATACATGCTGGAGGAGGCCAACCTTCACTTTTAAGTGATTGATTGTGATCTTCAATTATCTCTTCATAATTTCATATTATTACTTTCTTTGAAACAGTACGTCAATACAGAACTAGTAATTTTTTATTGATCAAACTGTAGAATTTTGGTTTATCGTAATCGTATATTTAACAGAGTCTTGGGGGTGGTTCCATTAAAAAAGGGAACACTCTGTTCATATTTGATCATACATACTTATTTGCTTGAATTAATTCACAAAAATTGTCACAATATGAATCACATGCTATCACAAGCATGCAAATCCTCTCAACGAGTTGGGCTCGTTATTCTCAAGACACCCTGTATCTTCCAAAATATAAGACGCAGTCGGACCGGATTCGGAAACCCTGCATCTGTCAGCTGAAGGAGCACGTGCTAAGTTGAACAATGGCGCCCTGTTTTACCGGCAGGTGAGAAACAGCTGCAAAAGAACAGGAGAATTAGTTAATCGGAAGAAGAAACCGGACAAGGAAATATTTTTTTGACAATTCTATTATTGTAAGAGAAAGATATATATGTACATTATCAGAAAGATGATCGTCAAACATAATAATACTAAAAGCAACATACAGTACAGTTAATAAACTCTGGAAAAATCATTTATATAAAATGATTGTATGGTCAAAAACAAAATTGATATCTCCTAAAAATATAACCCTCTCAATTTAACAAGATTCCTATGGCTGGGGTTGAATCAAATAAGCGAATGATTATACTGTAGAGTAGATTTAACTCATTCGTGACGTAAAGTCACGTAAAGTTCATGAATGAATTGAGGACTTCATCTCGTAATGTTATCCAGATTGGTGATGAAGTCGCAATAAGGCAAGTTTCTTATTCCAAAACATCGAATATGCCCCATTGAAGATAACAGTGTTTTATGTAGGTTAGGTTAGGTCGAAAATGAGTAGGTCTATTCGACCCTCCACCGCAACCCGCAAGGGTTTATTGTGGCTCACACATATTCATACTCGACAAAATAAACCCAGCTTCTTAACGAATCCGATTAGTTTGTATGGTGAGTGGTCTTTCAAGTCAGATGGCTCTGCTGAACTCTAAAACCCTGATTTGGTCCCCAGCGAGGCAGGCACAAAGTATATGCTCTGCTGTTTCATCATTTTCCAAACAGAGGCAACACACACTGTCTTCCGACAGTCCGAGTCTCTGCATATGATAATTCAAATGACAGTGACCTGTAAGAAGGCCTGCTAGATATCGTAGTCCATCCCTATTGTAGTCCAACAACTGTTTGGTATCGAGCTTCGAAGGGTGAATAAACGCCTTGGAGTCAGCCAATCCTGAAAGATTCTGCCAGAAGTCCATGAATCTTCCAGTTGTTCGATGTTTGTTTGGCAAAGCCTAAAGAGATGCCAATGACAGGTTCTGGTCCGATGAAGCTGCTTGCAGCACCCTCCTTTGCAAGGGAGTCAGCAGCCTCATTGCCTTTCAGGCCAGTATAGCCAGGAATCCAGACCAGAGACAATCTGTGAAATCTTCCTATCGAGGGGAGTGGTTTTTGCAATTTGCTACCAATTTAGACGATGCTCGGTAGGAGCCCAGAGCTTCCAACGCCGCATGACTGTCCGAGAATATATTTATTGACTTGTCTTTGAGGTTGGATTCTTCCAATCTCTCCGCACACAATTCAATAGAGTACATTTCCGCTTGAAATAAAGTGGCAAAGGTTCCTAGGCAGTTTGATATCTCTGTCCTGGGTGTGCGATTGAAAACACCTGCACCAGAACTGGAAGGTGTTTTAAATCCATCTGTGAACCAACAACTATCTGCTCTTAATATTCCCTTCTCCAGGAGGATCCAGTCCTCTCTACTCAGGAACAGTACTTTATAAGGCAGTTCGTGTTTTATGTAAGTGAAATTATATCTCTTTCATGTACTATATTGAATTGTTACACAATATAGTATATGAAACGAATGTTTGGAGTACAATCTGAATAGAAAAGTGTTTATTTGTATAATTCAATGTTCATATAAAAGTTGTTCCGAAAGTATTATTTATATGGAAATAGTTATTTCGAGAGGGCTTCTCTTCCAGTCTGTGTCTGAAAGTTACTTATTTGCTTGATCTGCACATATTTCGAAAGAGTTCTTTTTTAGAAAGTATTGCTTTCTTTCTTTACATGGAAGATTCCCACATTTTTTGTATAAAGATGAAGAAGTTAAAAACCAAAACCTTTTTTTCCATAAATTGATCTCTCCTGAAAATATACCCCATTCAATTCAAATAAAAATATTTGTGAACATGCAAAAGTTACATTCACAATTGAAACGAGTCACCAAAAAAGTTATGAGAACATAAATATACTCCTTCCAACTCCCTAAATCTTGGTCAAGAACTCACATATCGCCAAACTTTTTTTAGTATTTCTCAAGGTTTGTGGCATTTTGTCAAAAAAAAAACATTTCGTTTCCAACAGTACGTACGTAATTACAGAAAGTGTTTAAATCTGTGGCTTATATGGAGGGAGGGGGTCTTAAAAATGTACCTTGATGCATTGGAAGTATCCCAAAGAAGATTATTGAAAATCGTTTTGAATAAAAATAGTAGAGATACTCCAGTGATCCAAATATGTTTGATATGAGACAAAAATATTTCGAACAGCTGAATATTGCAGTTTCCAGAAAAAATTGACCTTTTCAACCTAGATCATACGTATTCTACTAGAGGAGAAAATATATTTGTCCTACCACTAATGAGCAAGTCAGTAGGCCAGACAAGTAATCGATTTTTGGGTCAACCTCAAATATGTTCATAACCTTCGTCTAGCTAGGAGTTAACTAAGATTCTACTTAGTAGTAGGAAAGGAGCACAAGTTATAATACTTGTAAAAATTCTGGAAGTGATTAATTAACCTTCACTTTCTATAATATAGACCTTGAACGTTCATTCCAAACTAAAACTCAGTCAATTTCACAGAGTGGTTCTTTGTTAACTGGCAGTGGTAAAAATTATCATTTGAAATGTCTTCATACAGTGCCTTTCTTTAATGTCCTCCCCTTTTATTTTTTGAACGGGTGCATGAATACTTTATTTTGAAGTGAAATTGACAGATAAAACTTTCAAGATGGCGACTGGACGCCATCTGGATAAAAAATTAAATGGAAAGGGGGATTTTGTGACACATCATTTTGAAACTCCTGATGGATGCTTCACAACCCTAGAACATGAAGTCAACTACAAAATGGCGGAACATTCAATAATTTCCTGATAAAAAACACATTAATATCGATACTTCTAGAAATATTTCTTTTTATCTGCCATATGGCAATTCCAACAACCTCATAAGGTTTGTTAAGTTATTTTTTGTTTATAAAAACATCAAAAAATGTCAGTACGACAATGAACATCACGTTTTCTGGAAAACACATACCCAATATCCAGAAAAAATTAACGTTTTGGCAGGAATATTGGGAAACCATATTGTAGGACCTCTATTTATTGATCAAAATTCAACAGGGAAAATGTATTTGAATATGCTGGAAACTACTGTTGACCCTCTCATCTCTGAAATCGTCGAAGGGAACGCTAATGAATTCGATATTGTATTTCAACAAGATGGAGCACCACCACATTACTCCAGACAAATAAAAAACTATTTGGATACTACTTTTCCCGGACGTTAGATTGGCCGTCAAGATCCTACAGAATGGCCAGCCCGCTCGCTAGGCAACCATTTCGAGCATCTTGTGAACTGTCATCAAGCTTACTACCTCATATTATGTAGTTAAATGTCAATGTATTCAGGCAATTATTTAAAGTTCCGCCACTTTGTAATAGTTGAAGATATTGACATTATATTCCAGGGTTGTGAAGCATTTATTAGGAGCTTCAAAAAGATATGTCACAAGACCCCCCTTTCCATTTAATTTTTTTCCCAGATGGCGCTCAGTCGTCATCTGTCAATTTCACTTCAAAATAAAGTAATCATGCATTAATTTCATTATCCCAAATTTCATTTTTTGAGTTGACCCGTACATGACGTGAAGTTTCGTTTCTCTTTCTATAGTTTCGGTCGGTAGCCAGGCGGTTCGACGTGAGTGCTTTGTTAACTCAGTCAATCGGCCGATGTGTCTTTCGATGGTTCAAGCCGCAGGCTAAACGATCAATTTTCACTTTCTATCGTCCAACCCGTGTTAGGGTTGGACGATAGAACGTTAAAAACGTTAAAAGGTAAGACCTCATTAGTCCTCAGCTCGCACAAGTTTCGACTTCTGAGGGTTGTCGTTCGTACGGGTGCGATAGCTGGTTAACAGAAAATATACTTCAAACATATTTTTATGGGAGGGGGGGGCGTCCTGTTCCTGTCCTGGCACGTGTCTGTCAGTTGCCTGTCTTAGTACGCGCCTAGCTATAAAAAACTATAGGAAGAGAAACGAAACTTCACGTTATGTTCCCGTCCTGTGCGGTTCTGTCGCAGTGTGTACCATGCATTACATGTTAGAACGGTAACCAAACACTGACATTGGCGCCTTCGCCTAATTTTCAAATGAATATGAACTCAACATTTCCTCTATAATTACCGGGAAAAAGGAAACAAGTTTGTTGAAGTTTTAATGAAAACTATACATAGTTTTATCTAGATATTTTTATTTTTCATCACTTAAAATGTAATTATCATATGAAAGGTTTAAAATGTGAACTATTCAGTTCGATACAGAAGTATCAACGATTTTCGAAACGTCTTCGCACATTTCACAACATTTCTGGAGTCACTGCACGACACTCCACAACAATTTTTCTGCGTAGATCATCAAGATTGGCTGTGTGATATAAAATTTGGATTTCAAATTACCCCATAAAAGAAGTCTAATGGTGATGAATCAGGAGTTCTAGCCGGCCATTCTATTGGTCCTCGCCTTCCAATGCATCTCCCTGTGAAATGGTCATCTAAAATTGACGTACATGTGCAACAATATGTGAAGGAGCTCCATCTTTTTGAAAAGTGAGCTGACCTTCAAGTAGACTATCATCACCTTCAAGTAACCGAGTGATTCTGGGGTTCACAGTTGTATCAAGAAGTTCAAGATACGTTTGTCCGTTGAGGTTACCATCAATAAAATATGGACATACAATGTGGTCTCCCAGAATACCATCCCAAACATTCAATTTCTGTAGAGTTTGAGAATGAGTTTCCCTTTGCCAATGGAAATTTACGTCACTCCAGTATCTGTAGTTGTGCCTGTTCACATGTCCATTTAAATAAAAAAAGATTCTTCAGAAAAGCACACATTGTAGAGGTAATGATTATCATCAATCAATAATTGACGCATGACTCTTTACATCTGTCAGGATCATCATTTAATTCTTGTACATTCTGCATTTTATAAGGATGGAATTTTGCTTCTTTTAGAATTCGATGTATGCTGCTTTCAGAAATTCCATAAATAGTCTCACGTTGTCTT